ACTTTCAAACACTCTAATGCTTTAGCATATTCAATCACATATATTAAACATAGGCCCCTTAATATCAACTATATTTTTCTCTCAAGTGAGGAATATACATACATATATATTATATGGCTGATTTATAACCAGTTATGTCTCGAGATACTAAACTTAACTAGAAACTAATGTTTTTTTTTAATCTTACATATTAAAATAAACGGTTAAATGTGTCATAGCCTGTTCCGAAATAAATTATCGATGACGTGAGTTGACCATTTTACCCTTGGACGTGGTGTGGTGGTGTGTAATATGCATGTTAGTGGTGGTCCAAACTTACATTTTCCTTAATTTTTGGACCAAATTAGAACTTAGTTTTTGTGGTTTTGGTTGGTGACCCACGTGGACCACTCACACACACACAAACTCTTCCTCTCTCTTCTCTCCCGTGCTCTCTCTCCCTTGGACTCACTCTCTCTCCTTCCCTCACGTACGGATCAACATTAACACTAGTGGAAAGTTGCAGATCGAGGGTTTAAAGGACGCCATCGTGTTCCTGAGGTTCGTACGAGTTGAATGGTACCATTTTTAGGTAAGAACTCATTCGAAAACCCTAGTTTCTCTCAAACTCCGATTTAGGTACTATTCATGCAATCGTAAAATCTTGTGTTTTTGGGGATTTCAAGCTTATAGGTAGCTTAAGGAGGTCCTCACGAGGCTAGGAGTGGTTCGTTGGAAGATTTTGGACATCGGACTATCGAGAACCACGAGTTTTAAGAATTGCCGGAATATTGAGGCTTTTTCTAGTGGGTTTCCGGACTCGACTCAGTATGGTTTTGTTTGTCTTGATGAGATCTTCAAAATGGTTCAAGTTTCATGAAGTTTGGTGTTAAAACGAGACAGATATAAGGTTTCAAAATTAAACCCAGAAACCGACGAAGTCACGGCGTCCGGCGACTCGTCGGAGAACATGAGGGTATATTCCGTCAGTTTTGACGGAATATGCTAACGGCGTTAGATGACGCCGTTAATAATTGACGGAATATGCTTGTTTTTGGACGGAATATTCCTTAACGTCGTTAGGGTTACCGTTAGTGTGCCTGGCACGTGCCCGCGCGTGGGCGGCGCGTGGGTGGTTGAAAATTTTTTCTAAAAATATGGGGATGTTCGTGAGGTTATGTAGATCACATTGATATATTCAAACATCCCATTTGAGCAATGTATGAGAAGTTATTAGCTAGTATTGGTTATGTGCTTTAAATTAATGTTTTTATAGTTATTTCGCACATAGGAGAGGCTTATCCCGAGGACAAGCGTAGTCAAGGGCGACTCGGGGGCTACAACCCTTCGACATACTAGTGAGTGGGCTTTTGGTTTTTAGTATATACTTATATACTTGATATTTTCCCAGAAAATGTGTTTAAATGAAAGTATGTCTTGAAATGCCATGCATATAAATTTATATTCTGTATATGAGTTGATACATGATGCATAATATAGAATTGTGGTGCTATGGACGCTCAGGCCCAGGTGAGTTTAGGAATTGTGAATATGAATAACGGTTGTGATTAATTGAGAAACATTGAGCTCTTAAACATGCACCTAGGGTGATTGTGATTTAGCTAGAGATAGAGTACATGCCTATTATTAATGTCACATTTTGTACCATATGCTCATATTGGATCCAATTTAGGTGCACAGTCTTGTCGTACAGACCATCATAAGTGGTTTCGACTCGTAGGTGACTAGCGATTTATCACCCAGCTATCATGAGAGAGTAGTATTGAGCATAATTATATTACACCCAATATGTCGTACATACCCCTTTTTAGTGGTTCCGACTTATGTGCAGTGTAGTGTCGTATAGGTCATTATAGTGACTCCGGCTAGATTGACTAATGAGCTATGAATTCAGCCGTACAGACTTCTACAGGGGTTCCGGCTAATGTGTTATGTTCCATGAATTTATTCTCACCTGAATTACTTATTCTGTTATATCTTGGTATGACATACTTACGATTATGAATATGTGAAGCATGAATTGAATTGAGATATTTACATATATATTTATGCATATGTTTATATTCTATTTATGGGAAAGTTATACATGTTTTACAGAGAGGGGTTAGAACTTTTGAGAAATGAAATGATTTTGAAAAGCTTTGTTTTTGCCCACTCACGTTTTCTGTTTTGCGCCCCTCCAGGTTTTAGGTAAGCTTGTTGTTGGTGGCATTGAGGATTTTGGCGGTTCTGACATAATAAAATATTTGTATGACATATTCTGGTACTTTATACTTAGTACTTGTCCTACTGAACTGCACCTAGACTTGCTATGCTCTGATTAGGAGTGTCACATCCTGGCTTGGGCCCCCACCACATTTGGGCTCGACTCTACCGTAGCATGATATTGTCTGCTTTGGGCCTCGACCACGCCCTCACGGTTTTGTTTCTGGGAACTCACACGAGAACTTCTCATTGGGTCACCCATCATGGGATTGCTCTCGCGTAAACTCGCTTAACTTCGGAGTTCCGATGGAACCCGAAACTAGTGAGCTCCCAAAAGGTCTCGTGCTAGGTAGAGATAGGAATATACATATAAGGCTTACATGATCCATTCCCCTGTGTAATGTGGGATGTTACAATCCAACCCCCCTTAGGGGCCCGACATCCTCGTTGGCACACTTCCAACCAAGGATTGGCTCTAGTACCAAATTGTCACATCTTGGCCCGGGCCCCCACCACATTCGGGCTCGACTCCACCGTAGCACGATATTGTCTGCTTTGGGCCCCGACCATGCCCTCACGGTTTTGTTTCTGGGAACTCACACAAGAACTTCCCATTGGGTCACCCATCTTGGGATTGCTCTTGCGCAAACTCATTTAACTTCGGAGTTCCGATTGAACCCGAAGCCAGTGAGCTCTCAAAAGGTCTCGTGCTAGGTAGAGATAGGAATATACATATAAGGCTTACAGGATCCATTCCCCTAGATGATGTGAGATGTTACAATCCAACCCCCCTTAGGGGCCCGACGTCCTCGTCGGCACACTTCCGGCCAAGGATTGGCTCTGATACTAAATTGTCACATCTTGGCCCGGGCCCTCACCACATCTGGGCTCGACTCCACCGTAGCATGATATTGTCCGTTTTTGGCCCCGACCACGCCCTCACGGTTTTGTTTCTGGGAACTCACACGAGAACTTCCCATTGGGTCACCTATCCTGGGATTGCTCTTGCGTAAACTCGCTTAACTTCGGAGTTCCGATGGAACCCGAAGCCAGTGAGCTACTGAAATGTCTCTTGCTAGGTAGAGATAGGAATATACATATAAGGCTTACAAGATCCACTCCCTTGGGCGATGTGGGATGTTACAATCCAATCCTTCTTAGGGGTCCGACGTCTTCATCGGCACACTTCCGGCCAGGGATTGGCTCTGATACCAAATTGTCACATCCTGGCCCGAGCCCCCACCACATCTGGGCTTGACTCCACCGTAGCACGATATTGTCCGCTTTGGGCCCCAACCACGCCCTCACGGTTTTGTTTCTGGGAACTCACACGAGAACTTCCCATTGGGTCACCCATCTTGGGATTGCTCTCGCGCGAACTCGCTTAACTTCAGAGTTTCGATGGAACCCGAAGCCAGTGAGCTCCCAAAATGTCTCCTGCTAGGTAGAGATAGGAATATACATACAAGGCTTACAGGATCCACTCCCCTGGGCGATGTGGGATATTACAAAATGGGTACCCCGTTTATAACTGCGGGTAATACCTATAACCGCCCATTTAAATTTTACGAGTAAACGGTTATACCCATAATCGTTTATTTATCTAAACGGTTACCCATAACCATAATAGTGAGTTTTAAATGAGCGAGTAATCGCAGTTAATTACCCATACCCCTGGGTATTTTGCCCATCCCTAGGAATAACAATAAGATAGTGCATTGCATGATCATTTCATTGCTTTCGTATCAAATTTTTTTTTCCATTGCCTGAAAAACCTTACAGTTTTTTGTTGAATACAACTTATTAAAAGGAAAGTAAGGTATTATAATGATCGAAATAACATAAACACAAGTCATGTGTCTCGCACATGACCTATATTGGATTGGAAAACTTAACGAAGTTAAGGAGATATGACAAATTAATGATTTCAAAAAGTTGGTATGACAAATTGCTTAAAATTTTAGTTTATATGACAAATTGAAAAATGTGTACAAGTTCATATGATATTTCGAATTTTTTTTAAAGTGACATTTGCTAACCCGTTTTGCACTTGTATGATACTTTAGGTATCGTTTGGTATGCAGACGGGACGGGACATAATAGAATGGGATGGGACGAGACGGGACGGAACGGAGAGGGAGCAAAGATGCCCTTGGATGGAAACAAGGAGGAAGAAGAAGGAGACAGAGAAGTTATAATTTTGTGTTCCATGGATGTGGAACGAGTCGTTCCAGGAGGTGAGACGGAACGAAAATTCACTCAAAATTCGTCCCGTGGAACAGCGCATTCCACCAGTTTTAGGCGCACCAAACGTGGGACAGAACGCCTCGTCCCACTCTGCTCCGTCCCATCCCACGTACCAAACGGTACCTTAATCCACTCGTCAACTAACTATTTAAATTTTATCTTTTATTTTAAATATTAATATCTTAACTTTATCTTATTTTGTAAGCCCAAAATTTATTTTTCTCTCTTCACTAAACAAGTGTTCACCACTAACAAAGTAATGCTCACAATCACTTTATTTATTGTCGTGGAATGACTTTGCATATTTATAAGTCAGTTGCTAATTTTTTTAGCTACTACATTCATTAGAGATGTATTTTTTCTTTGAGACATAATAAATTTAACTTCGTTACTCAAATGCTAACTCGCTTAAAAATGCTCCTACGATCACATTAAAAACTTTTATTAAAAATCGAGTGCTTTATTAAAAAGTACTTACTTGAAAGTACTTTCTCGTGAGCATTTCTATCTTTTGTTTTCTCCAGACACACTCGAAAACACTTCCAACAAACACAAACCGAAACACTTTGATCATATAACATGCACAAAGACAAAAGCAGTTACTATTAAACATAAACACCGTAGCAAACAACACACGTTACACAAACCCAGTCATAGACATACTCAACACTCGCATTTCACACACGTAAATTAAACATACATACCCTTTAATTAATATGTTTTTAATTCCTAGCCATACAAATATTTAGCTAGAACAATTCCGCTGCCTTAATACAGAAGCTGCCCTTGTTGCTGATATGCCACCAGGTCATCCAGCATCCACAGGTACAACGAGTCCGACTCTCCGCTTCCACTCACCACCTGACTCAGCTGCTCTACCACCACCTCGTCCCCACCCGCCACCTCTTTCTTAGCATACATTTCCCCACCACCACCGCCGTGATATAATGGATCATAATAGTAAGAACCGGTCTGGAAACTCGGTTGAGTCGGCTCCACCCGAGTTGACTCAGCAACAATGCACCGCCTCTTTGTCGGCGGCGGCGTATCCGGCGCCAGAGATGGAAGCGGTGAAGAGGATGGTGGTTGGGCAAAGTTGAGCTTGGCCTTGTCCCCGCGGATGCGCACGGCGGCTTCATCGTAAGCGCGGGCGGCTTCCTCAGCGGTGTCATAGGTGCCGAGCCAGACCCGGACGCCTTTGTAGGGGTCGCGAATCTCAGCCGCCCATTTGCCCCACGGCCTCTGCCTTATTCCTCTGTACACGTTTTTCCTCACTCTCTTGCCTTTTGCGGCAGCAGCAGACCCGCTCGCCTGCTTGGGCTTCTCATCACTTGTCACTACTCCAATCACACATAATTTAATTATTTCATTTTTTTTGTTAATCGAGTACAAAAGTTAGAAGAACAACCCTTAAAACTTTTTTTCGACATGAAGGAAAATAAATTATTTGCATCTCTTTTCTTCTTCTATATTATTTTTTTATCGTTTAATTTGTTTTCGATTTATTCAATTTACAAAGAAAAATAAATGGCAGGTGTCCATTTTCCAAACATAAACAGAATTTCATAAGAGAATTGTTATTAGCATTCCAAAAATCTTATTTGACGTTCTAAACTTTATATAATTAAAAAGAAAAATACACTTTTAAAAAATATAGAATAAATTTTTGAAATGCTAATAATAGTGCCCTTCTATAAAAACCAATTTCTTTTGTGTTTTGATCTTCCAGAAAAGTTGTAAAGAAATCTAACTATTATCTTATTGTATTAAAAGAATAATTAATAGACACAAAAAGCGGTAGATTATGATTAATTACTACTGTAATTTAGTAGTTGTGTGATCATTAAATTAGAAAACTGTACATAATTAATTGGAGAATTTGATTCCAGCCGAAATCAATAATTAATTACCTTCCCTCATAATGACGATCCAACTTTTTCTAGAAATAAAAAAAAAAGGAAAAAAAAAATGTGTTGGTGGCAAGCATCACCAGCGAACAACAACAAAAATTATATGCAAATAACCCAATTCTTTGATAGAAAATCTAGTGAAAAAAATTAATTCATAAACAATTCCCAGAAGTAGCAGATGAACCAAAACAAACTGAAGAACCAGACAAGTTCTGAGAAATAAATACAATTAATCATGCAAGCTTTATAACAAAGTATATGAAACTCTAGATAAAACCCACTAATGAAAATGCCATATCATATATATATATATATATATATATGTATATATAGATACCTTTGGTGATAGATGGTTTCGGCTTTTGGACCACCTTGTGATTCTCCGGCTGTTTGTTGATGCTGTTGGAGTAGTCTATGCCAAGGAGGTCAGAGATGGTGTCAAGATCTGACCAGAGGTCCTCCGCCGTCAGCTTCAGGGCGCGCTTGACGGCGATGAAGTCGGAAATGATAGCACCACCACACATGTTTATATTGCCACTTGTAGAAACTTAGAGAGAAAAAAGAGCCCTCTCAGGACACGCACAAAACGAGAGGTCTCTCTCCGTATAGAGCTCTGTATTTATAGACGACCGTCGGTTACAAGCAACATTTGCATAAAGACAAAAAAACACAGTAAGTTGCCTTACTGGGCTTTCCTTCCTTTGGTCACAGCCCATACAAAAAGCTTACTTTAAAAAATGTCACTGTAGCGGTATTTAATGTATATCATTATTTTTGAGTGATTCTACATGACAAATGTATGATTAACTTGAAAAACATTACTTAGTTCTTTTTCTTGAAAGTATGAGTTCTTACATCCTGCCAATTTCCATAAATAACTCATCAAAAACATTAAAAAAGGTAATGCTGGGTGAAATTTTAAATTAAATAATGTGTCACCAATAAAAAATAAATACGTTTATTAACATTTTAGTAATAATCTAATCATCAACATCAACATTAACATCATTTGGTTGACAAATTTGGTATCTCTAGCATTTTTCTAAAAAAATATCCACTAATGTTAAATTGTGATTAGCAATAATGTAGAATTTCCTACTCCTAAGGAAATGAGCCAAGTATGCTCGTTTGGTAAGTACTTTTAAATGACTGAAACTGCTTTTACAGAAAATATTTTTAGGTTTCGAAAGACTTGAAATACTTCCTGCTAAAAGTACAGTGCTTTTTGCTAAAAACACTTTAAATGCTATTCTAAAATTAACTTGCATTTGTACTAAAATTTGGTTTAAAAAATATTTTATCTAAAAGTGTTTTCAGTCGTTTAAAAACAGTTGGCAAACGGGCAAGTTAAAAAATAACCTACTTGATCACAGGGAGGGAAGAGAGAAGCCGTAAAAAGTAAAAAGTTTGATGCTGAATAGAAAATGCCCAAAAAGTGAAGGAATCTAAAAGTAAATGGAGTATGATTCTTTCCCTTCTTCTTCTCATTCCCTTTCCTCATTTTTCTCACAGTTTACTTTTTGTCTTATTGTTTCTACAAAAAAATCATATAAAATGTTGACGTAACTTAATTACAAACGTTCAAATGGAAGGACAAAGAAGATGAGAGAGATTAGGAGGGGAGATAACCCTTTCCCAAAATAAATTGCGGTCCAATGGTGTCAAGTGGGATTGAAGGGTTGACGATGTGGCCAGTGGCGAAGCCACGTGGGAGCGACGAGTGGCGGCCGCCACTCCCCTCGCCGGGAAACACCACTGGACCCCAGGTCTTCGCCACTCCCCTCGCATTCGTCGGAATTCATGGTGGAGGAGATTAACAGAGGTCTGGAAGAAAGTCGAAGAAGGGATTACGGTGGGGACGACGAAGGAGGGGGTGGGAGTGGGATCGACGGGGAAGGAGATGCGGTTGCGATGGACGGAGGAGAGGTTGATGGAGGAGGTGTGGGGATGAGATTGACGAAAAGCGGTTGGGGGTGTCGGGTCTGGGAGAAAAGCAAGGAAGAAGATGGGTGTTTGGATGTGGGTTGAAGATAAAGTTGGGTGTTTGGTTAACAAGATAACAAGTATTGGGGAAGAGTTTTAAATGACAAGTGTTTTAAAGTTGGGTGTTTGGTTAACAAGATAACAAGTATTTGTGGTTTTATTTTTGGGAGTTTTAACAAAAAAAACTCCTGGTACTGTTCACTTTTAACGAAAAACCACATTTATACATTTCTCTGGTGCTATTCACTATACCTTTAAAAAGGGTTTTTCATTAAAAATGAAGTTTTTTGGAGTTTTTTTTAGTTTTCCTTTTATTTTTAAGTCTTGTATGTATTTTTATTTTCTCTTTTAAGACTCCCACCGTATTTATCTTAAACTCTCACATTATTTATAAATATTGTATTACTTTAAAAACAATGTAAATATTGTTTAATGCTTATTTTACGATAATTTAAATCTATCTAGGCTCCCGCCTAGATCTCGTCTAGGCACCTAGCTGCTAGGTCTCAGTCCGTTGTTTGATTAGTACCTAACATTTTTTAGGATCTAATCCTAGTCAATTTAAGTTTCTTACAATGGCTTAGATATTATTGCTTACAACTGCTTGGGTGGAGAGACCATTTTCTGCTATGAATATTGAGTCAAAACTTTGCACTATCTAATGTGAAAGTAACCGCTTCGATTGAACTTTACACTCTTTTGAATTTCGCCCCTCCCCTCTGAAAATCCTGGCTTCGCCACTGGATGTGGCAGGATGTGACTTGAGCAGTTACATGAGGGTAAATTGTTACTCGGGGTTTGGCTCTGGCGTGCGTCAGATTGGCTCATAAATTTAACGGTTGACAGTTACAGGAACATGGCATTGTTTGCGGCAGCTTTCATTTGGAGTGACGTCCCTGCTAAACGACTCCCAAGATTTGAGATAATTGCAGTCTTGGCCACAGTAGATATAAAACTACATGATCTAGACCATCTTAAAAGGAAATGTAAAAAGTATCACATAGAGATATAACAGTAACAAATGACATATCATTTACTCTAACCGAGATGTTAAAGCTGATATGAAAAACAAGGCTAAGCTGATATGAATGAAGAGATGTCAAAGTTGACATTGCCTTCAAATATAGTTTTTGCTATTTTCAAAGGCATTTTCCACTTACATTACCTTAAATGCTAACATATTTAAGTATTATTTTATTATTTTTAAACCAACAACAACCCAACTTATATTATTTTTGTTTTAAAAAACATATAAATGAAGCAATAAATTTTGACATATCGTATGGAAAGAAAATATTGACAATAATGTTAAATTATCAAATCAGCTATCAAATAAAAATTTGATGTTTTGAATTTGACGTCTCCTTTGGATATGCTTAGCAACTTAAATTACAAATCTTTACAAGTATTTGAAATGTTATGATTACTATGATCTGTTTGGGTGTTCTTTTATGAAAGAAAATCCGATCTTGGTTTTGTGCTTGATGATACTTGTTGGATTGAACAAGCTCACGACTTGTAACCACTTTCAATAAATAAGAAAAAAGAAGAAGCTTTCTAACTTTTGGTAAAATCTATAGTGGATTGCTATTTGTGCTCTCCGCTTGTACCCTTGTACTTATGAAAGGAGTGCAAGAAAGTTTTGAAAGACTATCTTCAACGTTAATGTGTTTTATCGTATACATGGTTCTATAAAACATTAGGCGCTAGTCTGACGGCTGGCAGAGTTATTGTATTTTATCATATACAAGGTTCTAAAAAACACTAGGTGCTAGTCGGGCGGCTGGCAGAAGCCTAGGCGAATTATGTAAATTTATTATATATTTTGTAAATAAGTGTCTATTTACACCTAAAAAAAAAATACTTGTATGGATAATAAATAAATGATAAAATTGAAAAATAGAAGTAGAAGAATACACAAAGTATATAGATCCAAAAAGTTAATATTTAAAAAACAATAAGCATATAATCATAATGAGGATGATTCTTGGATGATAGATTAAATTCTTCTTGTTCATGATCCTTGCATTGAATTGGACATAGACTAAATTATTTAACCTTGTTGTATCTAATTTATTTCTTTTCTTTGTATGTATCTCCTCAAAAGTGCTCCAATTCGTTTCACAATTGGATGAACTTGTAGTAAATCCATCATTTGCAAATTCGGTACACCATTTCCATAAGTATACCTGTGACAGCCCGTCCGGTATTATCATTTTCGAAAGTGTGAAATTACTAAATGTCCTTGAACGTTTTAAAGATTTAGAGTATTAGAGTTTATCAAGTCACCCTAATTGTTAAAAGATGGTTGATTTTGGACGTTTTGTTTGTTTGTGTTGATGAGTGTGGCTTTTAATCCACACACTCACAGACACACTCATTCCCTTTTCTTTTCTTTCCCGTAATTCCCTCAAACACTCAAACTCACTCTCTCTCTCTCCCCGTCGAGTTCTCTCACACTCCCTTTCTCTTTCTACACTCACGGACTAACACAAAGACCTTCAAAAACTTCACAGATCGAGGAAAATAAAACCACCATCGTCTTCATCTCGACGATATGAGTCCAACCATACCTATTTCAGGTAAGATCTCTAACGTTTTCACGTTGAAATCACGAACTCCGATTTGGGTACTATTCATCAACTTTGTATTGGTTGATTTTTAGGAGTTTTCAAGCTTGTAGGAATAGTGAGGTCCTTAGGAGGCTCGGGGTAGTTCGTTGGAAAATTTTGGACGTAAGAACACGGAGATCGACAAGTTCAAGTTTGACCCGTGCCTTTCGAGGCGTTTTCCGGCTAAACCACGGAGAGTTAGACGTCGTGCGAGGTACCATTCTCTTCGTCTCTTCGAGAAATACAACTTTAGTTTTTGTTTCACTCAATTTCGTTGAGTATTAAAGAAGTTATACTCATTTGAATCTTACCCAGTTTCCGGCGAGTCCGACAGCTTTCGAGGCTTTTTTCGGTGAATCCACGCCGCGTTAGGGGTCAAGGCAGATATGGATGTGTTCGTCTCGTCAATACCTTCATTTTGATATAAATTACGTCGAAAATGGTTAAGAAATGAAGAAGTTATGACACTTTGAAGTTTACCCAGAAATTCCGGCAAAACACCCACCTTCGGCGAAACCAGTCCGGCGACGCGAGGAAGAAGACGCGCGCGTGGGCAGCGCGTATAGGTGGCGCGTGAGGGCGCGTGAGAGGTCCAAATTCCGTTCTAAAAATTGTCACGTGTTCATGACGTCGTGTAGATCACCGTGGTATATTCACATACCCAAATTGAGCAACATATGAGAAAGTTATTGACGAATGTTTGTGTATGTGCGTTTAAATGATGTTTTATAATTATTTTTGTATAAGTGAAAATTATATGGACGAAGAAAGTAACCAAAATAGGCGAGGGGGTTACGAACCGGCTACTTATCAGTGAGTGGGCAGTTATTTTTTAAGTATATATATATGTATACTTGACGTATTTCCTAGAAAACGTATTTTAAAAAGAAATACAAATTAAATAGCTTGTCATATATGCATTATATTTTAAAATGTGCATTACCATAATTGTACATATTGTTGCATGGTGCTGAGGAGGCCCAGATAAGTTACATGTGAGATATTATGTTGAAAACGATCATGAAATACGATTGAAATACAAATGAAATACTATGGAAATATGATTAAGATACATTTGATATATATTTGAAATACATTTGAAATACGATTGACATACGTATTAGATACATTTGATATACATATGAAATACGCATGAAATACGATTGAAATCCAATTGATATACGTATAAAATACATTTGAAATATGTAAGTATATACGTTTGAAATACGATTGATATACATTTGAATACGTATAATATACATTTGAAATACGTACGAAATACATTTGATATACGTATGAAATACGATTGATATACATTTGAAATACGTATAATATACATTTGATATACATTTGAAATACATTTGATATACGTATGAAATACGATTGATATACATTTGAAATACGTATGAAATACGATTGATATACATTTGATATACATTTGATATATGTACGAAATACTATTGAAATACATTTGAGATACGTACGAAATACATTTGAGATACATTTGATATACGTACGAAATACATTTGATATACGTATGAAGTATATTTGATACACGTATGAAGTACATTTGATATATATATATGAAATACATTTGATATACGTACGAAATACTATTGAAATACATTTGAGATACGTACGAAATACATTTGATATATGTATGAGATACATTTGAAATACGTTCGATATACGATTGAAATACGTTTGAAATACGAGGGAAATACTATTGAAACATGATGAATTATACGATTGAGGTATGATTGAAGTATGAATGAGTTATAATTGAGATGCAATTGTGACATGATCGAGATATGTTTATGATATGTTTGAGATATAATTGAAATGTGATTGAAATAGAATTGAGACACAATTATTGAGATATTATGCTGATAACGATAATGAGATATAGTTGAGATATGATGAATCATATGTTGAGATGTGATTGAAAGCTCATTTACTTGCACACGTATATTAGTGCTCCCGCCCAGAGTTAGAGGCACAGCCTTCACGTGTATGTTCACCTCCCGCACCGCATGCTCGCCTTGGATCCAAGTTAGGTGCATAGCCTGTCGTATAGACCACTTATGTGGGTTCGACTTGTAGGTGACCCGCGATTTATCGCACAGTTTCACGTGATTGTAGCACTAGAGCATATTATGATATATACAGTGATGAGTTGCAGACCACGTGAGGTGGTATTGAATGTGTGCAAGATATACATGATGTGATGAGATGATTATGAGCTATATATATACAGCCGAGGGCTGAGTTGATTATGATGAGATGATTATGAGCTATATATGCAGCCAAGGGTTGAGTTGATTATGATGAAAGAGTATGAACTATGTTTATAGCCAAGCGCTGAATTGATTATATGTTATTCTATCATATGTACATATAGATGATGAGCATTCAGTTATGATACTTTGGCATGACATACATTCATATTGCCTAGCATGAATTTGAGATATATTACGTATATGTTACTCCATCATATGTACATAGAGATGATGAGCATTCAGTTACGATACTTTGGCATGACATACATTCATATTGTCTAGCATGATTTGAGATATATTACGTATATGAGTATATACTTTATTTTTAGGAAACTATACTTGTTTTATGGCGAGGGGTTAGTAAATTCAAAGAGAAAAGAAAGTTTTGAAGAAGAATGTTTTGCTGACCCACTCAACTTTGTTTTGCGCCCCTCCAGGTTCGAGATATTACAAGTTATGGTGGTCACGAGGAATCCAACGGTGTTCTGGCAGAATTGACAAAGTAGGACTCACCTTCGGGTGTTTCATCTTAGCAATTGTATTTTAAAGCTTCCGAACTGTGTAAATGGCTACGTCACTCTCACGTGACGGCCAGCATGCCTTCAGTTATGATACTTTGGCATGACATACATTCATATTGTCTAGCATGGTTTGAGATATATTACGTATATGTGTATATACTTTATTTTTAGGAAACTATACTTGTTTTACGGCGAGAGGTTAGTAAATTCAAAGAGAAAAGAAAGTTTTGAAGAAGAATGTTTTGCTGACCCACTCAACTTTGTTTTGCGCCCCTCCAGGTTCGAGATATTATAAGTTATGGTGGCCACGAGGAATCCAACGGTGTTCTGGCAGAATTGACAAAAGTAGGACTCACCTTCGGGTGTTTCATCTTAGCAATTGTATTTTAAAGCTTCCGAACTGTGTAAATGGCTACGTCACTCTCACGTGACGGCCAGCATGCCCTCCTTCGGGACGGGGTGTGTCAATACCACCATGAAGCAAAAAAAGAAAAAAGCACACAATTAATAATAATAAAAAAAAAAACTGCCTAGGTGCCGCCTAGCCCTCCGCCTAGGAGCCGCCTAGGACCACCTAGCTCCAGATCGATTTTTCAAAACGATTTGCCGTAAATTGCGGCGGGCCTTCACCACCTAGCTCCTAGACGGCCTCCTAAACCAATTTTTAGAATACTAATCATATATTACAATTTAATACTAACAGTGAAGTGATTTTTACATGTTTTCTCTCTCTTTTTATATGCTTGTAAATTTAGGCATTTAGATCAAATAAAATGAATAAAATAAATAAATAAAGGTGTGCACATTGCATAAGGATAGAATTAATGTGTGGAAATCATTTTGCTATTGATATTCCTAAATATAATGACAATTCATAAATTGTTACCCAGAAGATGATAATTTTTTTTTACACTAATTATGGAAGAGGTAGAGCTTTTTGGAGAATTACCCACCGGAGTTTTTATAGGAAACACCTTCAAGCGTTTTTTCAAAAACTACTTGAATTTCTAATAAACATATGCTTCTCACAACAGATTTCCACCAAAATCTTGTCATTAAAAAGTTGTTACCCAAAGCTACTTAGTACTACGGTCTAGTGATATTTTTCTTCACTTGTAATTGAGAAGTTTTAGGTTCGATTATCACCAAAGGCGAATTTGAATCACATTATTACTAACTCATTGTGCGGCTTAGCCCACTCTTCCACCCTCTTAGTGTAGATAATATCATTTGTTAAAAAAAAACGTTGTTACCCAAAACATTTAGTAAAAGGAAATGATTGTTAACCAAACAAAAAGGGCGAGGGGTTGGAGACCAACTTATATGAAATAGATTTATTATCACGTAGCGTCCCGGTTAATAATACATTGTCATGTATAAAAAAAATGCATATAACAATGCATTATTGGACAAAAGATTATACATGGGGGTGAACTTGTTCTATATAAGTTGCTTTGGAGGGTTGAACGCTTAATTGTATAAAAGTTTTGCAAAAGTAGGTAGCTATGAATTTTTTTAATATCCATGTGGGCCCAAATTAACACGTGGCATCCAGTCACTATCCACGTGTGCGCCATGTCACAGGTTAAACGGCTATTTTAACAGCAAGGTTAACAGATGTATGAAAAGTGTCCCAAAATTATCACTTTACGTACCAGACTGAGATGAAAAAAATCTTGATGTATGAAATGTTTAAACAAAAAAACTTTAAGATAGTAAACTTAGAATTAGAATAGTAAAATAAGAATTATTCAAAAAATTAGAATAGTAAAATAAGAATTACTCTAAAAATTATGATTGATTTTTCTTTTGTAACTATGAAAGAATGTTTTGTTAATATATTTATTGATGGAGGAGATAGAATTTTCGTCATCCCAGACGAAGATTGCAGCAGCGGGCTTTTAGGAAGCAAGGAAAGAAGCTAAAGTTGCAAAGTAAACGCTTTTTGTTTCCGCGTCCAACAAACAAAAAACCTCCTCATATAGCATATGTCATCCTTCTATCATCGTTTTTTTTTCTTTCACAATTATTGTATTGTTTATATTTCACGGAAAATCTTACGATGGACCATTCTTTGCTTGCGCACAAGTAAATTGACTTCATTTGGTCACCACTGTGGCCAATCAAACTATGTAATTCTAAGGTCACCCAACAGATATTCTATCACTGAAGCAATAAAAGATTGATATTGTAACTAGGGCTCGTTCGGTAGGGGATCCCGAATTGAAAATGGGATCCTAATCCCGAACTGACCATTTTCGAGATGGGAATTTGAATCCCGACCCGAAATTTTCGGTATTCCCGAAATGTTTTCGGTATTTTTCAAAATGTTTTTGGTATTTCAGAATGGATCGGAACTCACATTCAAAGAACAAACATAACTTCACATATTCACAGAAGAAGCATGAATATGTGTTCGCGTACTCTCATCAAACCAATAAGGGCAGTCATTCCATCACAAGTCTAAAACAAGGATCCACGGCAAACAACCAGCATTGAAAGAACAAATTTGTTAACCTTGATGCCTCGATTTTCGAACTAATACTATCTATTGCATACGCAAATCCCCTCAAATCAATTACCCATATCACTGAATGTGACAAACTTTAACCCTAGACATTAATTCGAAAACCCAATTAATTCCAAAATTGTACCTGATTTAGGAGAAAAATCTCTATGCTAGGTCGAGGATTCAAGAGACAATACTCTCAGACTCTAGGCGTCTGAGAGAGAATGGCGAGAGAGATAGAATCGCGAAAGAGAGAGAGAATCGTGAGAGAGAGGGGTGGCTGCGTGTGGTGGAGGGAGGCTGGAGAGTCAGAAATGGTATGCCGTGGTGGTGGGCAGTGGCTGGCCGGAGTTGAGTTGAGTTAAGCTGAGCTGAGGTTCAGTTCGAATTCGAGACAAAGAGCTGGTTTGGTATTGCTGTGCTTTGAAAAAAAGCTGATGTGAGAATAAGCGGCTGTGAAATAAATCAGCAGAGTGTTTGGTAAACTTTTTTGTAAAAGTGCTTTTGGAAAAAAAAAACAGTGTAATAGTGGGTTTTTTCATTAAAGAAGCAC